TAAAGAGGACATCATAGAGAAGGTTTTAGGCATAAATTTAGTCCGATAAAGTTAATTAATAATTAGTTATTATTAATTAAAATAATTGTATACCTATATATATATTATTGTACATATTGTGCGGCACAATTTTTCACATTTATTGAGAATACTGCTGGGAAAATTAAAAAGCGACCTTATATTACCACGAAAATAAAATTTTCTTTTAAAAAAAAGCTGTACTTAATACTATGGAGCGAGATTTCTGGTAGAAAAGTTTGCACAACAAATCAAGGGGTATTTGTCGACTAAAATTAGTCTGAGCGAGCGATAGCTAAGTCTCTATATAGGTACACCTAAGATGCATTTGTTTTTTCTCGGTTTAGATAAAAGGGAAAAATAAGTGCAAAGTTAAAAATAAGTTGTGTAAGTTATTAGAAGCAAAAATTAGAATTCGAAACACGGGGTTTGAAGCCGCGAACTGTAGTATGAAACTATATAGGTATGTATTAAACTGAAACTGAACTGTATTTGGCTACGACAAACATAATAGAGAGATGAAAATATTTAGTTTTTTAACATAACATAATATAATATAAAGGCAAATATAAATTTTCTGTCCAAATTTTAAGTCCATATAGTCGATACGAATATTTTTAACTGAATTTCAACAAAAATATCAATATTTTTATAAAAAGCCTAAAAGTAGCTTAAATGTTTTGAAAATTTGACTATGTCTAAAAAAGTAAAATATAAGTTTTCAGTTCAAATTTCAAGGTTCTACTAATATTTTAAACTGAAGTACAACAAATAACATAATTGAAAAATAATAAAACCATTATTTTCGTAAATTCCCCGTTTTTCTTACGTTTTATCTTAGTTTTTCCCAGGTATTATGAAAACCGTTTGGAAAATAAAAAAATGACCTCCCAAAAGTACCATCTGGACAACATTCCCTTTCAGAAATGATACCGCGCGTATATACCTGAGCAAGATTTATGGTAGAATTTTTGTACACAGTATATAAAGAAAAAAATTTATATCTTAGTAAAACCAATACATTCTTCTCTACACTATAAATCTAAAATTTAGAACGTTAAATTATACTTATTATAGTAATCTACTAGATCGCGCTATTATGAAAGAAGTTTTTTAAGGCACGGACTTTGAGAATTGGTTATCACTTTTTACACAGGTAACAGGTTAGCGATTTATGTTATCTAATATCTATGGTTGGCGGCAAGGTGTATTGATCCACCTTAGTTGGCGGTTTGCAAATGTTTTCAATGGTGTAATTTCTGGTCAGAACACTTCAAGTAAACTAATAACTAATAAGTAATTTTAATTTAATTAGGTATGACGTTTGAAAACTTGGCCAAGGACCATACGTGAGTTGATGGTTTAATTAATTAAGGGATAAGTTACTCGAGTATATATTATACAATTCATTTTTTTAAACTATTAGTTTTGTCTCTGGATTTAAGTTGCTGAATAATGTTGAAAATAACAAATTCTTCAATTTGATCGATAAGATGATGAAAGATTTCAATCCTAATAAATCATCGATGTTTAGAGAACAAGAACTGTTATCAATGGAGACATCGTTGAAATTGGACAGTGATTTATGTAGTAATTTACTGAATAGCTTAAATCGTTTATTGAGACAAGTAAATAATTTTCCAAAAATGTGAAAGAAACACATTGTTTAAATATTTATGTTATTGTGGTCAGGTAGTTAGTGATATGACCAAACCAGCTGTACTGAAAAATGTATTATCCGAACTTTTTTTATTAGACATGAAAAAAGTTGAATTGTTTTGTGAATGTTGGACCGCTAATGTTGAACAAATTGTATCAAGACTTCAGCAAAACTTTACTCATTCATACAGGGTGATTATAATTTGAATATGTTTACACTGTTTCCTAATCATGTCAAATATTAATAATATGAAATTGCCTAATGTTTTTTTTTCCTGTAAATATGTTTCATTTAGCTAAAGGATGTAAATTGGGCTTTGAATATTTCGTCAAATGTTGGAATCGAATTATCAAATCCAGAACCTAGATGTTTAATAGAATTAAAAGTTGAAGATAGTCAGCACCGTGATAATCATAAAATTAATGAAATATTTTTGGATTTTAACGAAGAAGATTTGAAGAAATTTTACGACATGCTAGAAACTATCAAAGTAAAGTTAAATACTTTACCTTAACAATGATTAAATCTCTTAGTTTTAACAGATTAAATTATAATACCATAATTATATTGATTTGAAATCTAAATGTATGATAATTAACTGTTGGTATATATCTAATTATTATATTTTACTTAAACATGTTTTAATAGAAACAATTTCATACAATTCTATCACAATGTACAGAATATTCGACTAATGCAATAATTTGTTTTGTTAATATTTTAATATTTTTGTATAATAATTACTTAAGTCTCGAACTATGAATTATGGTTCGTTAGATTATTGCAATATTTTGAAGTTCTCAAAAATATTTTTTTAAATTTACATATTTTAATTTTAGTTTTAAAACATAAAAAATAAATAAAGGAATTATAATGTAAGGCTTTAATAATTATATAAAAAAAAAAAAATTGAAGATATAACAAATATATAGAACAAAAGTGTATGTTGAATCTTTATGGGACCCTTGATAATGAGAACTATAACAATCAGTTGATAAATTATACCTGCTAAATAAGTTACGAGTAGTATACCATTGTATCCATTTATTATTTATTAATAAAACATATAAGAGCATATCCCGTTGAAAAGGAATTTACATGTTTACTTATTAAGTTATCACTGAAGTCGGAAATTGTATACTTAAAAATATTTGTAATGAATGTATAATGTTTGGTGAAAGTAAGGAATTTGTGTTTCATAACCTGTATAATTGATCAAAATTGGTTTTTTTTGCATACTAGTGCGTATTTTGAAATTGGAGAATATTTAGCATATTTCACTATTGGATTATATTAAAAATATTCTGTAGTTTTTAGTTTCTGAAATCTCATGTCAATCTACATGTTGATTCATACAGATTACCGTACCCAAGAAGACAACACATTACTCCATACTTATCAAAATTTACAAACTTGACCATTCAATAAAATTATTCAAATCATATTGAAATTTCTAAGTCATTAAAGGTAGACAACTTCACAAATCATATTTGAGTTATTATGTTTTTTATTGTCTATGACATTCAAATTGAAATATTGAATTTTGTATTAAATTTACATTTAAACTACTTAAATGACCATTTTTCTCTTTTCAAAAAATGTTGTTTAACATAAAAAAAATAAAATATTTATTGACATTACCTTTGTTTAAAACAACTAATTGTGTTTATTAAAAATAAACTGAATTGAATTCATCTTTAAAAAATGATGAAAGGATTAAAAACCTAATATTCAATACCAGTGACGCTACCAGGATTTTTTGAAGGGGGTGTCACTTTTCTACATAAAAAAAAATTATGTTTTTTTTTCTACTCCAATAAATTTATTTTACTTATACATGAATAGAGTGAGATATATAGACACATAAAACACCCCACCTTTGGTTGCGCTATTGTCCAATACAATAGTTATATCAATGTTTTTATTAATACTAATGTTCAAGTCATTTTTCTAACTATAGTCTACTCACAATATATAACGAATTTCAAGAGACCGAGGAAAATTTTGAACGTATCAACTTTCTAATTTCATTAGATTTATAATTTTTAATAATTGTTTAAAGTTCAGAAAAAAGAATCGTATTCACTTAGCCATAATAATAATAATTAATTAACAAATGTGATTACAGCCCGCTACATAATTATACGTACTTTTCTCTGAACAAAAATAATTAAATCACAAATTTAATAAAGAATTGAACCTTAGAAGAATTAAACTCTAAAACGGCTATTTTCACATTTTTCAAAAATAATAAAATACAAAACTAGGTATTTTTTTACCAAAACATAACAATTTAATTAAAATATATTTATAGTCCTTTACCTGCAAGTAATATAAAGAGAACACCTAAATTTGATTATCATTATTATCTCAGAAGATATTTCAATGGTTATATCTTCGTGGGACACCTATATGACAAATTTACATGCTATGATCCTTAAAAAGTGTATTCTATGTTCAGTTAATTAAGACATATTATATTTCTTAATTTATTGTTTACAATATAAAGATCCAAACAACTTTTTTCTAATTTATTTTTTTTTTTAGGGGTTGCTTACACTAACTATGGGTAAAGTTTTAGTTTTAGTAATATAGGTTAGGTAATAATAAATAGGAACTAATGATGGACCACTTACAAGCAATACTTGAAAAAAACTGTAGCCATACTAGATCTATTTATTGTGTACTTACATTTTGGATCTCTTAATAATGGGTTCTCATCAGACTTATCTGGAGTATTCAATAATTATCATGATTTTCACTTTTGTCAAATTCTTCTTTTTGTTTTTTATATTTAGAATGATGTATCATTGGCAAAAATTGTTTGTTTTTTTCAAAGTTGAAATAATATTAAGAAAATTTAACATATTCTCAAATTCTCATTTCTAATTACACATTTTGCATATACTAAACAACAAATTAAAAATGTATCTAATGGTAATTTTGAGACATTGTTTGCTATTTTTATCTAGTATTAATCTACAATACATACCAACAATAAATAAAATGTATAGAATTATTTTTTTCAACATGGTTTGTTAAATATCACCATCATCGGGGGGTTTCTGACTAAAAAAGAAATCTGCTGATACCACTGGTGTCATATATATATAAAAATGGATCCCTGTTTCCCTTGGTCATCGCATTACGCCTGAACGGCTGATCCGATTTTGTTAATTCTTTTTTTGTTGTGTTTGTAATTGTCAGGAGAAGGTTTTTATGTAATACAATTTTAAGAAAATCCACTGGAAAAGTACAGAATTTGAATGTAAAAACATCACTGTCCAGTAAGAAAATAAACTATATTTTTGTTTATTGTAAGGGTGCTATTGGTTATGATTGAATATAATAGTTGTAGACTTGTTATATTTTGTCANGAAAATAAACTATATTTTTGTTTATTGTAAGGGTGCTATTGGTTACGATTGAATATAATAGTTGTAGACTTGTTATATTTTGTCAAAACCATAACAACAAAAATAAGTATTACCGAAATTAAAAAAAAAAAAAACACGGAAATCTCAAATAATCATAGCAATAGACTAAAATACACGTTACTAAGTGATATACTTGGTTATAAAGAAGAATACAATAGTTTTCTTTAATTTACAGTTGAATTTTTGTTTTTGAAAATGCCAAAAATTGGACGTACAAACTTAAGTCGCAGAACTCGCAATGCTGCGCGAGTCAGATATACAAGAACAAGTCAAACTGACAAGCAACGCGAAGCACGGAATGAAGTTGAATGGAATCAATTTAATTGAAATCAATAACAGAGAAATGTTGCGTTTAACCCCTATCAAGCTGCGTTCAATTATAACATGGAAATCGATTACAGTACACAGCAAATTGTTGCTATTGGACCAATCAATTTATGTTTAAAAATGAAACTCTTGGATTGTGTCACTTTTTTTTTTATAAATTATACCAATTCGAATTCAATATTTATAATTAAAACAGGACAATATCTGTCGGGTCAGCTAGTCACTGATAAATTTAAGAAACTTCTGGTTAAGAAGATGCTAAACAAAGTAGAGAAGCTACGTCCTCCTCCCTACTCAAATTTAAGCACTGCTGACAGTTTGTTCAACAGTTTAACAATACTGTTATATAACTACTATTAAGAGAAATTTGAACATGTAAAACAAATCAATAGTTAAAGCTGATAAGTAGACATTTATTATTTTTTATTATTATTGGAATTTTTGAACACGAATAATATATTTAATTACATATAATCAATAAAACATATAATAAATAATGTAATAAAAATATATAATTAATATGAACTTATGATTATTGGGTAATACAAAGCTAATTATGAATTTTGATAAAATAGCACGTCATAACAAAACAATATTGGTGTACTCAGGTACAAAAAAAATATTTTCAAACAATTATATATGTTTGCAATAGAAATAAAAACAATATATTAAAATGTGTAATGTGTATACAAATAATAATAATATTTCCTAGGGCAATTGTAACTCTTTATCATTTGGTAATGGCTCAAAATATTTATCTATAACCTCATTCTTAACGTCTTCAAGTGTTGACGGAGACCATTTCGGAGTTTTGTCTTTATCAATTAACAATGCTCTTACTCCTGTACGAAAGAAAAAACAATAGGTAATTATTCTTCAATTTTATGATAATATATCACATTTTTTTTAAGACAAACCTTCATAAAAATCTGTAGAATATTCGGCTTCTATACATCTATATGCTAATCGGTATTCCATTTTTAAACATTCATCTAAACTCAGATTTTTTCCTTTTAATATTTCTTTTCGGGTAATTTTAAGTGCTGTAGGACTAACTTCTTTAAGCGTTTTAAGTATTCCTTGTGCCCATACAGAATTATCCTTATACAGAGCATCCAAAATCACTTCAACTTTTTCATTGGAAAATATCAAATTTATTTTCTCTAAAAATGGTTCCATAGAGAATTTAAAATTATCTAAGTTTTCTGTATTTTCTTTGAGAATTATTTCTGGATCTCGGATGTCTTCAATCAGTTTAGTCTTTAAACTTTTTATTTCAGAACTATTAACATAATGTGTTGCAATACCTACTTTAGCAACATCACTACCTTTTAACCTAACTCCAGTCAAACCTAACATAACTCCTAAATAGTTTTCCATTTTAGGTAAAATATAACTACTACCAACATCACAAAACAATCCAATTGCTGTTTCTGGCATAGCAAATAATGTCTTTTCAGTTGCCACTCTATACTTTCCATGAACAGATATTCCAACACCTCCACCCATTGTAATACCATCAATCAATGAAATGTAGGGGATTTTATATTTACCAATTAAACTGTTCATTGAATATTCATGTTTAAAAAATGCAGTACCTTTTTCTAGTGATGTAGTACCTACACCATTTTCTGTAATAGTTTTAACATCTCCTCCAGCACAAAATGCTTTCTCACCAGCTCCTTCAATAATCACCATTCGAACTTGTGATTCGTATTCCTTGAGTTTTGGATACATTTTATTAACCATTGATTTATTGAGAGAATTTAACACTTTTGGTCTGTTCAAAGTAATTATACCAACATCGTTTTTAACTTCAAACAGTACATCGTCCATAACAGTTGATAAATGCCTTTTAAACCGCCACACATTTGATGAAATCTTTAGGTGAGAAAAAAATATCATCTGTAAAAAGAGTTTATTATATTTTAGATACATATAAAAAATAATTTGTAATTGCATATAAATTTAATTTAAACCCTTTAACAAAAATTTAACAATATTACAAAAAAAAAAAACTAAACATTTGTATGGAGAATAATTTAAAGAATGATTTATAAAAAATAATCATTATGACTACAAATAGTATTTTAAAATACCAGTAATGGGAAAGTTATATATAAAAATCTAGTTCAAGTTCCAGACATTAAAATAAATATGAACTAGTTTAAAATATTAAATTTCATATTTTTCAAAATTAACTAAGGTAGTTTAAGTTCATCAAATTGCAATAAGAGTAAATTATTTATAAATAACATTGTTATTTGATTCAATAATTCAGTTTATCCAATATAGTGGGTTTAATTATGAAAACAAAATTTTTATATAAAATGTTTATTTATGAAATAAATTTTATAACTAACTAGTCGTATATTATATTACTTCTATAATATTGAAATTTTAGTATATTGTTACATCAGTACACATTTTTTATTTTATTTTATTTTAAGTATTAGTTTTATATTATTAAATTAATTTATTTTCAATAATTGATATTTAAGATAATATATGATAATGATGACTGAATGATAAGACACTATCCTTTTTTCTCCATATATATTCTCTGGCCCAACAATCCAAGTCAGAGCCTCTCCTCGCGCGGAGACGTACCTTGTTCTTTTTTCTGTCTGTGTTTTCTTCGCATCAGAAAATTACTGCAATTCAGTTTGTGTTCTTCTTCAGCATTGCTGCCTTTTATAACAATATCATTGCTTCCATCCAGTATAGGTAAGTATATCATTATACAATTATATTTATTTCCTATCATAATAATAAGTAATAAATGAAATACCTAAGCATCTTTTTTCATTTATTACACTAATGTGAAAATAAAATATTAGTAATACACATAACTGTGGTTTATGGAAGTTACCTAGTCAACAAACAAATCAAAAACATAAGAACTCTGTTCGAGTTCAAGTGAATATTTTCAAAATGAAACATTATCATGTCCAGTTCACACAAAATGAACACGTTCTTCCCCATTATTGTTAAATACTGTATATAAATAGTTCCTGTTAAATGAATTAGGTATCCATTAAAATGTATACAATGTATAGTTATTTAGTTTTATTATTGTCAACAAACTAAAATAATATATATTCCTATTTGTGTGTGAAAACCAAAACCAAGTGCCATCAAGTAAAAATGGTCGAAACCGACTTAAGAGTATATCTTGGGTTTAACAAGCTTAATATTTTTGGATGCAACAACTTATGCATACATATGTGTCGGCAGCAAAATAATTAAAATAGGTAAACATGTTCAACAGATTTCAAATTCTAGCTTTTTACCTACCATCATAAATTACCAATTATAGCCTGTAGGTCTATTTAATATTTATTTATATTTACTGTTAATTAAGTAGTTAAATAAGTGATTATAATAAATATTGTACTGGTGATTAATAAATGATATTATTAAATTATAATATTAATAAATAACTCACTTTTTTTTTCTATAAATTTCTACAATGAAGATAAACCAAGTCACAACTAATAAGAAAAAAAAAAAAAAAACCTAGATTAATTAATTTATGAAAATGTGTACATGGTTACAACTGAATACAATATGCCGAATATCGAATGAGTAAGCGACATTAAATTTTATACACACATAATTCCATGTTATGAATGTATTATACAATGTCTATAATCCTACTGAATATAAAAATTCATATTTTCATTGGTTATTACATAATCAGATACCATGATAAAGAAGCGTAATCAAAGTCAAAGCCTTAAGAGTATAGGTAATGTAAGATCAAAACATTCGAATCAAAACTGAAGTTTGAACTGGTCAATGGACAATGAGTGGAGGCTGCAGGCTCGGCTGACTGACTGACTGACTAATCAACGGACGAGATTTTTTTAAGGTTTCCGAAAGGTGTACACACGAAAATCGTACGGTTACAAATGTGTACAAATGACGAAGGTGACCATCGTTAACAGGTCTTGGGTCGAATGCTCAAATTTAAATACAGGATGCAACGTTTATGGTGCGCATGCGCATTGCGCTATCGGCGCGTAATCACGGATGTACTATCCATGTATGTTATCTAATATCTATATCCTTGGCGTAATGTAAATATTAGATAACACGTTGATTATCACTTATAAAGTATTTTAAGCGGCAAACTAACATTTTTAATAAATATGGTATCGTATTCAAAACGTGCAAACTCCTTACCCAAAAATGTTTTAAGCTATATTTATGATGCTATTTCTTCTCAACCAATAATAAAAGATTCAAGGTAACAAATACTAAAACACGACCAACGTGAGACGAAGTTAGAGATCTAAATGATACAATATATACAATTGCATACAACATGTGTGTTTTTAAAAGAACATAATACTTTTAAATAACATTTATTTCTTGTACGTTGTTTTTAAGTGATAATTTTAAAAATGTTGGCCTACCATTGATTAAATTTATCAACTTAAATTTGATTATTATTTTAGAGACGTATTTTATGATGCAATTTGTACTATTATTATCATTGTTTAAAAAAAAAAATTGCCCATCAGGCACCTAAATGTGCCGAGTTAAATTTTGCAATATTCTAAATAAATGTTAATAAAAGATTTAAAAGATTAATAACCTGTTGTAAACTAGCAAATTTTAATTATTCAAATTATTATTGCATTATAATTTGTATTTTGTAGGTTCCGTTTTTAAGTTAGCTCTAATCAGTTACTAGTTGGAAGGTAAACAGAAAAAAAAACAATCTGTATACTTTGCACTTTTATTTTGTTTTTCCCCGACCGAAGTCGAATAAAGTTTTTAGTAAACATAAAAACGAAAACAAAAAAAAAAAAACACACACATTATACAATCCATAGAAAAAAATAGTTTTATAAAGGCACCAATAAACAATAATAATAATAATACTTCCATTACTGTTATAAAAGTATAAAATGCTATCGCTATTATTATAATTAATAACATAATCAATAACATTTAAACGACGGTCGTTTCGAGGCCGACGGCCGCCGCCGACGCGAATAGAAATCGTCCGAAGAGCAGGGTGACCCGCGGTAATTCTCAACGGTTATTTCGTAGGTGTGTGTGCGTGCCAAGGATTTTCCGGTTGNTTCCGTTTTTAAGTTAGCTCTAATCAGTTACTAGTTGGAAGGTAAACAGAAAAAAAAAACAATCTGTATACTTTGCACTATTATTTTGTTTTTCCCCGACCAACCATTAATTTTCCCACCAGAAGAGTTACCGAAGTTATAAATAAGTCGAATAAAGTTTTTAGTAAACATAAAAACGAAAACAAAAAAAAAAAAACACACACATTATACAATCAATATAAAAAAATAGTTTTATAAAGGCACCAATAAACAATAATAATAATAATACATCCATTACTGTTATAAAAGTATAAAATGCTATCGCTATTATTATAATTAATAACATAATCAATAACAATTAATCGACGGTCGGTTCGAGGCCGACGACACCGATGGCCCGGCCGCCGCCGACGCGAATAGAAATCGTCCGAAGAGCAGGGTGACCCGCGGTAATTCTCAACGGTTATTTCGTAGGTGTGTGCGCGTGCCAAGGATTTTCCGGTTGACGTATTCGACCTGGCAAGTGGCTACTCTGCTTCGGCGGTGGCCGGCGTCGAAATTGGTCTGTCGCAGAACACCGGAATAGTCGGGGGAAAAGCGTTCGATTGTTGTCACGGAGAACCGCCGAGTTATTATTAATTGCAACGGTCGACCCACGTGAGTAATATTTTTTCCGTCAATATTGTGGTTTCGTGCGCCGCACGTAAATTCGGTTTGTTTTTTCGTGTTAGTTTTCCAACATGTCGAACGAAGAAAAACTCGATGACTTATCGGACCTGGATAGCGTATTACGGAAAGTGTCGCAGGAGATATTGTCCAAACAGGCCGACGGATATTGTTTCTCAGTCGATAATGCCAAAACAGCGAATGAAAATGTATGTTATTCGCCGTACAATGTTAACGAGGTGGCCGACTATGTTAACTTCGATATGCTGGGAGATGAAAGTGAAGACACAAAGCCGTTCAACCACCTCATTGTTGACAACAATTATGAAGACATTACAAATGACGGAGGTGTTCTTAAATTAGTGCGGGATCCTGGTTAGTAACTACTTGCATGATTAGTTTTTATCACAATTCGTTGAAATTCCTTCGATTTCGGTTAATCTAACATTACTTATAATTCATGTTGAATTGACCAATATTTTTAAATATAAAAACCGATTAAAACGTTTACCCGGGGGGTATTATGCGGGTGTTGTCACGTTTGGATTTAATAATATTCTGTAAATGCTGAAGGGTGGATTGAAAAATTAAATTGTTATTAACTTATTAATTAAGGTGGGCCTTTAATCTTACAATATAAATAATATACTGTAATATTCTACTTGTTTCAAACAAGCACCTACACAAACAGAGGTCCGGTTCGGAAAAAAACAAATGCCATGTGCGTTCATTTTTTCAGAGCCTCAATTGACCTTTTATTTTATTTTCATTTTCTAATACTAAGCGTAGATTAATCTTAACAGTACACATTTTTTTTAGTTCTTTAATTTTAATTTGTGTTTTCCTAAATAATCATGTGAAATTAATATCTAGCTATGATAACAACTAGATGTGGAGCCTCTTAAAGAGTGGGGCTCTGTGCGTGTGCACATTTTGCACCTCCTTCAAGCCATCCCTATACACAAATCAGACCTTTAAAATATAATTTATATATAATTTATTAATATATAATATTATTAAGTTGTGTATAGTTAGAATTATAATAATAAATAACTGTAAATGTAAATAAAAAACTTCGAGTCAAAACAAAAAATTATTTTTAACAAAATGGATGATAAAATATACCCTAAAACATGATTAACAAAATAAATATGCTACTGGGTGTATTTAATATTTATACCTATATCACTATTTATTATTTCTTTAGATTAAAAACATTTCTGAGTTAAATCAAATTTTAAAAAAAAGATCTTAAATGGTATACTACCAATAATAGTAATAATAATACTATATATGGTTAAAAGGTATTTTCTATATTACTATGGATTAATTTAAATTGCTTATTATTATTTTTTTCTTAGGTTAATAATTCTGTTGTCATGAAAAAATCTCTATAACTCTAACTTCAGTTAGTTTGGAGATGTTAGTATCAAATTAAAGCGCATGGTATACATTTAGTTTACGACCTGAGCTCATATTTATTTTTTTTTTTTTTCAAAATTTGTTTTTGAATGTATATTACGAATTGGAAAAGAAAAAAAATAGAACAAACTTCGTTTGGAAGTTATGGAGGAAACCTTCATGAAGTTTGGGTTTTTTGTTTCGTGTATTTCTCAGTTAGAATTAAACATTTTCAAATTTTTTTCCACCAAAATATGTGTTGATGATTAATCCATTGGTGAAATCAAAACTTACCTATTATACTTTTTTTTTATAATTATTGTACATAAACTTAACCACCTATAATGCTTTTTCACTTTACCCTGTTACCAATCCGACGTGGTTTTTTACAACAAATTAAGGGTTATTTTCGATTAAAATTGCCCGAGTGAGCGTAGTGAAACACTACGTGTTGTAACTCTAATTCTAAACCAGATAGAGTAATTCTGATTTCAATAAAAAAAAACTTATCAAAATATCAATAACTACAAATAATAATAAAAAAAAATTTCTGTTTTTACCACATTATGGATTAATTCCAAAAATGCTATTTTTCAAGGTTTATGTACAATAACTATAAAAGTAAGTATGAAAGGTAAGTTTTGATTTATACCAATGGATTAAGCATTAAAAAACACACATTTTGGAAAAAATAAACTTAAAAAATGGTTTAATTATAACTAAGAAATATGAGAAATAGAAAACACAAACTTAATGAAGTTTTACCCCATAACTTCCAAACAACGTTTGACTTTTTTTTTAGTTTACTGATGTACATAAAAAAGTCAAATTTTGTTAAAATTTGAAAACCCAGCTTGGGTCATTCCCAGTTTATTTTAGCAGCAATTTTATACAACATCCGTTATTTAAAAAATAGTAAATCTGTATTAAAAACTAAAATCATGTTTTTCTGAAAATGACTTTTTGGAGTTATTGTTGGTTTTTTATTGACTTAAGAATTATTATGTCTAAATTAAATAACAGTCTGCTTTTATTTTACAATTTTTACAGTGCGTTAATTAATATTTTATTCTTATTTCAGGGGTTGGTGAAGTTGTACCTGAAAACAGTATTGTTTTATTACATTATACTGGATACATATCAAACCTTCATGAACCTTTTGATGTAACTTATCTCCAAGGTAAACGTCCTAAGCACTTTCAATTGGGATTTGGTGATCTATTATCAGGTTTAGAGATTGGTGTACTAACTATGAAACATGGTGAAAACGCAAGATTTATTATAAGCCCAAAGTATGGTTTTGGAAAAATGGGATGTCCACCTCGTATACCACCAAATTCTACTGTTTTATTTGATGTTCATCTTGTTAGTTATTTCCCTCCAGGGGTCAGGATTCCTCGACATTTTAAGGAAGCTTTTAATTTAGATAAATGTCTTGAAGCAGTTAGAGAACTACACTTTGAGGGCAACCAATGCTATAAGAGAAATAAGATTGAAAATGCTATTTTTAAGTATGAAAAAGCAAAAGAATTGTTGCATTTAATTGGAAACAGCAAAGAGGAGGAAGAAATAGAAATATTTAAATATTTTGATAAATTGTATTCAAATTTAAGTATCTGTTATTTAAAGCTATATGCTTTTAAGAAAGTATGTCGTATGGGCGTAGAAGGGATGATGTATTCAGAGAGATTTTCTAAAAACAATGTAAAATTATGGTTTAATTGGGGTAAAGCTCTGCGATTTTTGAAAGATTTTACAGAAGGAAAAAGGAAGCTCCTAAAGGCATTACAACTTGAACCTTACAATTTGACAACACAATATGAATTAGAACGCTTGGAAAGAGATAGAGAATTACATCTGCGTGTTGATTCATTTGTTAAATTCAAGAATGCCACAGATGAAGATAATAAACGTTTACCACCAGAATTTTGGTCAGTATTCGATATAATGATAACTGAGTTTGTTGATAGTTCTGATGATTTAATAACTGTTAAATTAAATGATAACTCTGATGACATAGAGTTAGCAGAGCATAAGGCAAATTTACGTAATTTAAAAGTTCAACGCCTTCAAAATGATACTGTTAATATTAATTATTTTGTAATAAAAAAGGAATTGTAATATTTTACTTGTAATAATTTTCAATAAAATAAATTATGGTTTTTTTTTTTTTTGTATTTGTATTATTTTTAATTCTGATGACAAACGATGACTGATGATTTGCTGAGATGTTTACGCTGGGCAGGAAAACTAGCCATACACAAAATACATGATTTAGGGTCTTGCTGCGTCTGGATCATAGACGTGCGCAGACATTGTTTGCAGGTGCATTCCTTTACTACTCCCCCCTCCCACTTATAAAGAGGCCCATTTACAGATATTTACCATCAGTGGTGAAGGAGATTTGAGGTTATACCTCCCCAGTTTGCTTGAAAATATAAGTAATCAAAATGCATACATTTCAGCTAAATTACGAGGAAAAGTTTGATATATTGTCATATTGATTAGAATTTGGCTTTTATTTAGGATTCAATTTTTTTTAAATTACCAATTCCCAGTTTAGTTGGATAGAGAAGACGACTTAACGTTTTATTCACAATTATTATTTGCTACATCTCCCATTGAAAATTCCTGGGCATCGATATTATTATCCAATAATACTAATAACACCGGTTTGTAAACATTGCCAAACCTGCAATATGACGACTGGCTTCATGTGTAAGTAGGGTTGCCAGACGTCCCGTATAATACGGGAATGTACCTTTTTTTGACTAAGTGTCCCGTTGTCCCGACAACCCTTGTCGGGGCACTGAAATGTCCCGTTTGCTAAAATATGTACCCATATTATGAATTGTATTCTTTTTCGTTTTGAGATAACAATTACCTACTTGTTATTCATTATCACTACCCGTCGGCCACATAGATAATAGAAGATTATAATAAAACCATATGACCATACCGACCGATACCATAGACCTACAAAGGTCTTTATAGGTCTATGACCGATACCGATTTCGTTTCTATTAATAGATTGTTATAATTTTATATNTTCATAGTCTGGTCAGACCACAGTAATATACATTAGTCTATAATCGTTTTTATAACATAATAATATGATAGTTAAGTTTTAATTTTTAAAATGCCCAAAAGAAAGTGCACATTTAATGAAAAGTTACAGAGTGAATACACATTCTCAAAAAAAATGTCAAAAACCAGGACGAGAATATAAAATTGAACGTATTGTGTGTGGAGCAGAATTCAGCATTGAACACGGTGGTAAGTCGGATATTACACAACATTTAAAATCGGAACGACATAATTTAGCTGCTAGAGCGTCTAAATCTCAAAAATTGTCAAATTTTTTCTCTCCGATAACACAATTTGCTGATAAAGTGTAATGATATAGGCTATTTAAGCTATCGTCCATAATTTAAAATAAAATATCATGTAATGTAAGAAATAAATCAAACAATTAATAACGGGAACGAAAATTAAACGTATACATCCAATTACATTTTTTTTTTTTTTTTATCAAATAACATATATTTTAATGCGATATCTACTCATCGTAAGGATGTGATATTTAAGCTATCATATATGGTTAAAATAAAATGTTTAATCAATGTTGTAAAATAATTACAATAATTTATAGCCATTAAGTATTAGATTAAGTTGTTAGTGTTAACCAGATTAAGATAACACATTTACACACGCGCACACACACATAGATGTCCAGTTATAAGGAGGCCGGCTACTTCTAATCACACTCGGTGCGTGTATTGTTCCCGTTGCTTTTGGACAGATGATCACAAGCGAGTGTAAAAGACTGCGTAGAGATTCTTACAAAAGCACGGGAACCTAGAACAGTGTTTTATATTTAAAAAATTAATAAAAAAAANGGAACGACATAATATAGCTGCTAGAGCGTCTAAATCTCAAAAATTGTCAAATTTTTTTTCTCCAAAAACACAATTTGCTGATAAAGAACAAAAATTAGCTGCAGATGAAGGAATTTTTGCTTATCATACTTGTAAACACAGTCAAAGTCTCAATTCTATGGATTGTACTTCTCAGTTAGTTCGTAAATTATATGAGAAAAAATTTACTTGTGGTAGAACTAAAACAAAATCTATCATCACTAATGTATTTTTACCCTATGCTGTTAATGTTTTAAAAAAAGATTTACTCAAGTGCAATTTTGTATCAATTATGACTGATGCATCTAATCATAATTCTCAAAAAATGATACCCATTCTTGTTCGCTATTCTATATGGAGGTGTCCGTTAAGGGAGATTTCACTGTATTTGAAATAGACATTTTTTTAGTCCCGTATTTTGAATTTTGAAATCTGGTAACCCTATGTATAAGCTTATTTGAATTATATAGTTAAGTACTAGGTAGTATAGATTTGTGGTTTATCAAATTTAGGTTATTTCGTACGAACACCTTGTTTTGTTTACAAACAAATTTTTTACGTCATTTGTTATAATTAAAATTATAATATTTTTAATTTTGAATTATAATATTTATTTTTACAAATTGCACAAATATGAATAACAAAACATGCACGTTTATTATTATTTTCATTACACTTTTACATTTTTATGAAAAAATGTAATTTTCGATTATTTTATTTTTAATATCTTAAAAATTGAATTTTTATTTACTTAATCACTTAATGCAATGGTTGGTGTTGCATTCGGGACAAGTTTTTGAACATCGGGCTCAATACTTAAAAACTTTAATTGCAGTTCAGATTCCACGTTTTCTATTCGGTTTCGAAAATTATTTTTAATATAAACAAGGGCGAAGAAGGCTTTTTCACACAAATACGTTGTGGGGAATCGAATTAAAACTTTCACGGCTTTGGGCAATCAATAATTCCGGATAATCTTTTCGAACGTGCAACCAAAAATTTTCTTACGATTTTTGATTGAATTGTATTTTTAAACTACTATCTATAGACATTTCTGCGTGGCTGTCCTCTTCCAATGGTGTCGGTCCATTTATTCGATGTATATCAATTTCAAAAGGTTGTCGAATCCAATTTTTATTAGAATAGGAAAGTAATCGCGGAAGCTACGTTACACAGTACCCGTATGTTGTATGAAATATTTAGAATCTTTGTCGGGCAATTCTTCTTCAGTTGATTCAATAAAATTTCTGTGGATTGGAATTGGATCGTAATTCTTCTTTGACAGGCAGAGGTTATCTAGGGAATAACCTAACCATGTTACGCGATAACATTGATTTTCCCACGGATTAGTAGAATTTAAAATGGCTGTTACTTAGAAACTATTCATTGGATATAAATGTGTGATGATACATTCAAATTTCGAGAAAAATTATCTTTACAGAATGGCTGTCTTAAAATTTTCCGAAAATAATAAAATAAAAAGTTATTTTTTTAATTTAAAAAAAAAAAATGAATTCAAATATAAATATTTGTATCCTTTTCCCTGTGAGTAATATAAAAAAAAAAAAAAAAAAACAGAATTTGGTTATCTTTATTATCTCCGGGGATATTCAAGGGGTGTTGTATCTTCGTGGGACAACCTGTATATAGATTATATAAGGAAAAAAAAAATATAATAATTCAACAATATTGTAATAATGCACTCGTGTCACGTATTGACGTATATTATGTGTGAGGGTTGCCGTAGACCCCCAACATGAGTATCGGGAGGCCACGGACCAAAGGTTTAGAACCGCTGGTATAGAGGACTGTGCACGAGAGCAAAATTTTTGTCGAAGTAGTGTCCTGGCCATATACAATATAAACATAGGCAATTTATTGCCCTACCATACGTCTTCGGTCTAAACATTAAACTACCTACTGTTATAACTTATAAACGGTAAATATGATATTAGTGTTATGCCTAACAAAATTTCTAGAAAAATATTCTCTATTCAAATCTGTGTTCAAAAGGAGGGTTTCCTACTTGAAAATCAAAAGTATGTACTTATTTAAGGTATACGGAGTAGGAGTAAAAAATAAAAAATGGTTTTAAAAGTAAAGTTTAAACGAATCCACAATGATTAGAAAAAAACCGAAATCAAATTCACTTGAAATCATCTGAGATAATTGTTGGTTCATGATAAAAAAAAGTCAGATAGAGATGGGTTATGTGCAAAACGGGTAGAATAGTATACACATTTCAAGGGAAGTTTTTTTTTTTTTTATGTTAAGGAGGACCTGACCAATTTTAAAATGTACTTTTTTTTTTTTGATTTTTATATCTGGTAATCATATAACTAGTTATACAGTAAAAACTGTAGTAATTTAATTGAACACTAGATAGCGCTAGCGCATTAGGAAAGCCTCGTAAACTTTCATTATTCTATTAATTCCACTCTTCTAATTCCTGTCTCTAATATAAAAGATTTATGTGTTATTTTTGCCATCGATCTATCATTTAAAGATCATATTAATCATGTTTGTAACAAATCCACGAAAACGATAAGTTTATAAACCATAACACTTATTGGTTTCTCTGATATATATGCATTAAATACCCTCTATGTGGCTTTAGTTCATTTGGTGATCGAATATGCTTTTATTATTTTATCACCATATCAATTATCCTATAATTATTGGTTAAGTAAAGTACAAAACAAATTCTTAAAAATGTGATGCGGAATTTTATGAGTTTTCCCAGCAAATGTGAAAAACCGACCGAGAAAAAACATGAAAAAACGGGAAAATCGGTACAATATTAAACAAATACTATTAAAGACAATATTTAATGTCTATTTCATGGTTTACCATAATATGATATTATATTGTGGACAAAGCATCACTATCAACTGAACTGCGCTCAGAATCGTTTTTTCGTTAGCAATGGTTTATCGTTGCTTACAGGTATACATTAAATTACCTTAACAGGGGCTGCACTCATGTCCATTAATCCTAGTACGTCTTTTTAAACTTTTTACTTAAACATTTGTTTGACCTTACAACTACCCAGCCACTTCTTCATTCTTGTAACAGTTACATTTTTTGGTGCTTTCTTTAATTCTTTTCCTTTTACATTGGTTTTCTCCTCGTTATTTTCTTCTGAAACCCTGTCTCCATAGCTTTTCTCAACAATAATTTTTTTCCTCTTCCTTTATTTCATTT